CATTAGGAGAAAAGGAACTAGAAGCCGTGTGACACGGTAGAACTAAAGCTAAGTGAGAGTCATCAGCTCAAGGGAGATCATGAATGCCCCTAAGAAAATAAATGTGGAGGCTTTTACAGTGCATTAGCAGAAGAGTGTTTTTTGGTTTTATAGCTAAAGAAACAAAAGCCAAGAGACATTAATTTAATGACCTCATCTCTTTTCAGAAACTGATGGAATGGAAGCTAGTCATACACTTTAACAATTAATATTTTAATTAAAAGAAATAAATACCTATCATAGCATTTGAAAAGAGAATTCAGGGCCCTTGACCTTCCGGAATATTTTTTTTCCATATTCACATCTATTCTTCCTGAGTCCAGAGTTTATTACTCTGGCAGTTCTATACTGTGTCCAGTTAGCTGAGCTGGAACTACGTTTCCCAGAGTCCTCTCCTCTGTGTCGTTTTCAGGGAGGGCTGGCTGGAAGATAAATTTGCAGGAGACTTGGAAGGCCAAAGTGACACATCAGCCCTGTGCTGGGTCCTAGACATCCCTGCAACTTGTCACGTTGCTGTGACCTGCTGCCTCTCCTTGCTGGTCTGGGGGAACAGCCAGTGCACGGGTTCCCTCCTTCAGCCTCTCCTACTACTAGACCAGGCACACAGGGCTCTACAGAGAAGGACCCTGTTTTTCTGAAAGTGGCCAGTGTCATCAGAGTCCATGCGGTGAGAGACAGATACGGGCTCCAGTCACTTCTCACAGATTCCAGTTTGTCCTGGCTTGGAGTCCAGCTTGTCTTCCCCCCGCCCTGCTGACCTGTCACAGATTCCAGTTTGTCCTGGCTTGGAGTCCAGCTTGTCTTCCCCCAGCCCTGCTGACCTGCAGGGACTGCAGACAACAGCCAGATGCGGAGGCAACAGGCTTCCACAGGCTTCTTCGCCAGCTTCCCTTTGTCATGACCCTGATGAGTGACTTTCTCCTTTTCCTCTCACCGTCCCCTTCCAGATCTTTGCTTTCTCAGTGTCTTCCACAGCTGTGTGGGGTGCAACCCTTGCAAGAAATTCCTTGTCTCCTATTCCTCACAGTGGTTCTGCTTCCCTTTTCACACTGCCGGGCGCCTGGGTGGCTCAGTCGTTAAGTGTCTGCCTTCAGCTCAGGTCATGATCCCAGGGTCCTGGGATTGAGCCCCCCACTGGGCTCCCTGCTCTGCGGGAAGCCTGCTTCTCCATCTCCCACTTCCCCTGCTTGTGATCCCTCTCTCACTGTGTCTCTCTCTGTCAAATAAATAATAAATAAAATCTTCTAAAAAAAAAGAATTAAAAAAGAATTGCTCACACTGCGTTATTACCCAGGCCTTTCTATACCCAGCCTCCCTTTAATTGACTGTAATTTGTGCCTTTCACCTATCCTCAAGGGACTATTAGCTACCAGAAAAGGGTGATGAAATTTTAAAATACATCTTAGTATTTTTAAATAGTCATCATGATGAACTGAGAACCAATATTAAAGCACTGGCTACAGGGAGATTTGGGGACACCATCTATAGGCTTCTGGCACCTGACCCTGGAAGCCTCCACAACACCCAGAACTACCCAGTTGCTAAGTGGGAGAGGAACAAACTCCTACCTTATTTCAGCCACTGTTATTTTGGTGTTTGTTATGGCTGAGCTTGAATTCTAACCAAAAACACATTAAACATTACCTTAATCAAGTTCAGTTATTCAAGTAAGGGCACATCAAAACTTATCATTATCCTCCCTCTCTTATCTTATAGCTCAGCCTTATAAATGGACATGCTTGCTTACCAAGCAGAGCTTCAGAAAAAGAGAGACTGTCTCTATCTTGCATAAAATACAGAGTGGCCCATTTAATAGCCATATGTGATGGACAGTGATCCACTCTTTCCATTCATTCTTACTTCTAACGTATCTTCATGGCAGACTGCACTAAAGCAATTAACATTTATTAACAAGGCCAACACTGGACTGTCTATTCTTGTCTTGGACTAGGCATTACCACTGAATTTCAGAAGACAAGAGGTATTTTCAATTATTTGAGAAAGTCACTTGGCCTGAGATAAACTGCCACCATTTATAAAATTTGGTGAATACTCTCTCTTCACAGGCTTGTTGTGAAGGTAAAATGAAATACTCCGAAGTATGTAAAGCCTTCCTTTGACATAATAGGTATCAATAACTATTAGTCAAATCTAAAGCCCAAAGTACATTTTAAAAGAATTAGTATAGAATACTATTTAAAGAATCCTAAAAAGCAAATAACAAGCAGCCCCAATAATTTTTTCCAAAATCAAACTAAGTTTCCTGAAAAGGGAAATTCTTGCTCTAATACAGTAATGTATCAAATGATATGCTAGTGACTGAGAATTTGCTGCATTTTTCAAAGTCACCCAAAAACAAAAGAGAGGGGTAGTGTGAGCTGGGGAAAACTCTGACCATGAATAGGTGGGTTCTGGAAGTTTAAGATCAACGTCTCTGATATAATATGCGCCATGTTGTAATCTCTGTTAACCTGAAAGTTTCTCTGACTTAAAACAAAGAAAGCATCCTTTTCTTTTTGCTAAACTTTCCTGAGATTCTTAGTTGATTCTTGATATTTCAAAAGATTGGATCAAAAAATTGATGTAAAAAATATTTTTAGTTTTATGATGAATCTATAGGAAAAAAAAAAGATGCTGGCAAAGGAAATCAATGAGGACAATACCACCCGATGTTTATCACATGAGTAAAACTGACTGTACTTATTAATATAAAAAGAAGGTTCACTTGTATCTTGCCTTTCTGGTAGACTTTAAAGAGTTTCTAAAAATAAAAGTATAAGATGCTTTCTCAAATTTCATTAGCTTTATGTATCAGAGTAAAGACATAAGTATTGTCTGGACTGCATGTTTGTGCCCTCCCTACAATTCGTATGTTGAATTCTTAATTACTAATGTGATATTTGGAGGTAGGTCATCAGGTAGAGTCCTATGATGGAATTAGTGCCCTTAGGAGAAGAGACATAATAAAACTACCTAGTTCTCTCTCTCTCTCCATCCCTCTGCCCTGTGAGGAGACACTAAGAAAGTGGTGGCCATCTACAAACCAGGAGGGAGGCCCTCACCAACAGCCAAGTCTGCCAGCACCTTGATTTTGGACTTTGCCAGGCTCTAGCCTGTGAGGAATAAATCTCTGTTGTCTAAGCCATCTGGTCTTTGGCGATTTATTATAGCAACCCAAACTGACTAAGACAAATGTCTCCCAGGTACACGCGCAAGATGATTGAATCCTGAAATAACAGTAGAAACCTGTTTCTAGGAAACTATTCCTTAGTAATATTTATCATTGTTAAGTCTTAACAGGGAGGGCCAGGGTTCAGAAACAAGTCAGAGAGATCAGAGGCTGATGGTATTAACAGTATTTACTCTAACCGCCCATGCTCAGTCACTTATAAGCAAATCTGTCTACTCCTAGTGCCAGAGGAAGGGCCAATCTTGTCATCCATAGTTTGGACTATGTGCCTAGAGGTGTCCCTGAACAACCATTTATGACTCTGCATAGCAAAGAGCAGAGTCAGTCAGATTCCTTCTCTCATTCTGGAATTTGAAAGAGTCAATATCCAGAAACTGATCTCACTTAGAAGTGGGAGTAGACGCAAGGTGAGGAAACAAAGCTGCAGTATAAGGCCATATGAGTCATGTGCAAATCCAGTTATTCATTAACTGAGATTAAGCAGGCCAAACCTGCTGGCTGCTGACCAGAAAGAAGCAGACACAGGGAATATAGCTCAGTCAATTCAGGCATAATCTCCTTGAAGACAGGGACAGTGTCTGTCTTGTTCGTTACTGTTTCCCCAACATCTAGCATAGTTCTTTGTTATTGAAAAAAAATAGCCACTTGATATGTATCACCTGAATGAATAGTTAATGACTTAGCAGTAGATCACCAGAGAAAGCCCTAAAGTGACTTTCTTTCTAGAAACACCGTCAGTTCCTGGCACCAGAAACCTAAATTTGTCCATGAAATTCCTTCTCCTTCAACATAACCTATGTCTTCTTGTGTTCCTAAGCTCCACTACTTCCTTTTATTTGAGCACATTTGTTTGGTCCTTGATCCTCGTAAATAACAACAACAAGAAAAACAAGACTTTGTGTGAGAGAGGAAGGAAGAAAGGGAGAAGGGGAGAGAGGTTTGAGAGAGAGAGAGAGAATGAGAGAGAGGTGTAGGAGTTGAGGCTGGTAGAGAGACTACACTTTACTTCCCTAAGAGAGGTTTAGACTGGGTGAGAGGCTGAAAGACAAGGAACGGCAACAAACAACCTGTTCTAGAAAACTCTAGAGGGTTTGCTCAAGATAAGTGTTTAAACTTAATCACTGGAGTAGACCAGCTATACAAAATAAGACAGCCGTGTAGCTATCTCCCTGTAAATTGTTTATATTGTATTGAATGGGAGTAACTTGACTCCCATTCTCCTGCTTAATGAGTAAAGTGCTCAGGGAGGTTACTCTGGCGATAAAACAAAGGGTACTTAAAGGAATAATCCACCCTCTTTCCCAACTCATCATTTCCTGTCCTTCATTATTACTGAATGCCTCCACTCGCGTGTCTTTAAGAAAATCTAAATGCTTGGATTTTTTCCATTTATGAAGAACTCAGGAATGATATGGAAGAAAATGTTATCTCAGTAAACTGCTTTCATAAAACAATATGTTCTCTTGGGCAATACATATCTTTCAAGGTCTGGTTTATCCCCAGTCAATCACTGTTAAATTATCCTCATGTGACAGATAATGGAAAACTAATCCTTCTGTTGAATACCAGGCCCGCACATTTCACAAAGGAGGTATGAGCCAAGCATACTTTCCACATTAGTAGATACATCAGGTGGCCAGTATTATCCCCATCTTACTTCTAGTAGTTATATGTAAAAGGTACCATAGCCATAAGATGCTCTGATGGTCAAAAGCAATATGTTAACATTCATAAGGGCAAAGAAGGAAGGAATAAAAAATAAAATACTTACTTGGTCCTAGACCAATTGAAAAAGCAGCAACATAAACAAGCAAGCTGGCTAAGGAAAGCCATTTCAAGAAAGCTGGGACGTCCGCAGGGTCTGTGACTATCTGGTATTCAGCTTGGCTCATTCCAGCATTTGGTAAGGTCGTCACCCCTCTCTTATCCACATCATTTTTTGTGGGCATTAGGGAGTTTCTGCTATGGGTAGTGATCCCCTTAAAGAGCTCTCTAAGAGTGTCATCACTGGCTGATAGGTTTCCTGGCCCATAAAACACAGACTCATCCAACGACTGGTTGATAGGGCTATGGCTTCTGCAGATATTGGTGAAGTTCATGGGGATGTTGAGATTCACGATGCCCATGGTCACCAATGAAGCTGCCATCACAGAGGAGCCAACACAGAGGAAGGTTTTGCTCCCAATGTGGTCTACAAGAAGAGTGGCAGGGATGGTGCTGATGACCTTGACAACTCCAACCCCCGTGGAGGCGAGGCTAGCTGCCTCATTGCTTTGGAAGCCAACAGACTTCAAAACAGTTGATGCATAGAATAATATGTTTGGCTGACCGGTGACTTGTACAAAAAATACCAATGTCAGGCCTATCATTATCCGAGTCCTCATGTTGTCCTTTGATCGAAACAGATCCCAAAAACTATACTGATATTCATCTTTCAGGGAAGATTTTATCCCAGTGAGTTCCTCCGTTGTATCCGAGATGGCTCTCAACCTTCTGAGAACCTTGCTAGCAGCTTCCTCGTGTCCTTTCATCACCAGAAACCGGGGACTTGGAGGAAGAAAATACATTGCAATTGCTTGCAAAACTCCCAAGGGAATAACAAGGCCAAACATATATTTCCAGCCATGGGAAACATTGGCAAACGCATAATTTGAAATGTAGGCGAAAAGTATGCCGATGACAATCATTAGCTCATTCAGGGACACAAGAAGACCTCTTCTGTGCTGTGGAGCAATCTCTGCGATGTAAACACATGTGGCAATTGAAGAGAGTGAAATGGAAACCCCTATAGCAATGCGGCCCACTATGAGAACCGCATAAGATAAACTGAGTATCAAGACTAAGCTTCCGAGTCCAAGGAGGCAGGATGACAAGATGATGGCAGCCCTTCTTCCATACCTGTCAATCAGGACCCCTCCAGTGAGGGAGGCCAGCAAGGCGCCAATGAGGAGGGAGCTCACAACCATTTCCTGCTCATGGCAGGTTAGGGCTAATAAGGTTCTTATCTGAAGAAGGGCCCCAGAGATGAGCCCAAGTTCATAACCCACCAGGAGGCCACTGACAGCAGCAGTGACAGATGACAGGAGAGTAAACATGCCGCAACCTACAGGCGGAAAGAAGAGACAGAGAGGTCAGTTCTGTGCTGTTATTTTCAAAACTTTATGTCTGAATGGAGACTTAACCTTGTATAAGTAAGTTTTTCAGAGCACTGAGTATAACCACACACTTAAATATAGTAAAATAATATATCAACAAAAATGATTAGATATAAAAGGAAATATCCTTTTCTTTCATTTTTGGGAGGTGAGGGGTGGAGATATTTAAGAAGTCACTTCCTTCTATTTGTGATGCTGATGTTTTTAGTTACTAGCAGACAGCTATGCAAGATAAGCAGATGACAGATGATGAAGACTGAACAAACAAGAACACTGTTTCGTTCCTGCTTTGGCATTGGATCAGAAATTCAGACAGCCCGGTTCCTCAGGTCCTGCTGCAGGCTGTTCTCTAAAAGCAAACCTTTGAGGCAGAGTAGAGAGGATAGGAGCCTCAGGAAGTGCTAGAGGCTTCAGTTGTGTAACATGGGAGAAAATGAAGCACAGCCTCCAGGAAACCTGCCCTCATGTCTCCTTGGCCACATCCGGCCACAGTTGGCTCTTGCTGAAACAAAAGAGGGTACTGGGTGTGTGTGTGTGTGTGTGTGTGTGTGTGTGTGTGTGTGTCAAAGTTAAGATTGTACCAGAAAGAAGGAAGAAAGAAATGGATGCAGGGGAGGGAACCAACAACATCCATTACTTGCTCTGAGTAAGGAGGCAAGGGAATGGAACTTGGGGGGAAGAAGAACAAAAGGGACTTGATACTGTTTTACTATTTTAATGTTAAAAACTGAGGGAAAAGAGCAAAATGTTAGCAGTCATTAATTTTCAGAAGTAGGTATGTGGATGCTTATTATATATTTGTAACTTGTCAAAAATAGAAACAAAACAAAACAAAAACTAACCAAGGGAAGAGCACTGCAGGCACAGGAAACAACAGTTTGTAAGGCGTGACACAGGAAAGCATGTTTTTGGAACTGTTGGGCAGCCAGTACCTCATATGTGGGGCACAGCAGCTTGGAGAGGTAAATAGGATCCACTAAATTTGGATAGGGACAGAGGGGACACTTCAAACAGGGTCCTGCAAGTCACAGTGATAACTTTTTATGGTTTTCCAAGTATAAAGGGGCAATGCACACTGAATGGTATGGGGGCACTGATGCCAAGTTTCTTGCTGTTGGGTGCAGACTGGTTCTTCCAGGAGCAAGACTGATAACAGAAAGGAGTGTGTTGCCTTAGAGTTAAAAAGAGATGATGGTAGCTTAGACTTGGATGTTCAGAGTAGACCTTGAGACAAGTAGACAGATTCAAGGGAATTTGGAGGTAAAAATGACTACACTTGTTCATGAATTGGAGTTAGAAGGTAAAGAGGTGGGTTGGAACCCAAGAGGGCCCCATGATTTGAGCCATTGGTTGGGTGATTTTACAATGTTCAATACCCTGCATATAGGCCTATATATTGTTCAAGGCAATATACTGACTGAAGGAAGACTGAGAAGAGAACTGGTTATGACTGGGGGTAAAAGGAGGAGTGGAAATCAGAAGTTCTGTTTTAGATTTACTGAAATGTTTTAATTGTTTTATCTATAAGACCTTCAGTTAAAAATGTCAATTCAGACTAATATACAGATTTGGAGCTTAGGAGTTAAGTCAAGGCTGGAGATTTGTATTTGGGATTCAGCAGCAGGTATCTGGGATTTAAAATCATGGGAATGAATGGGATCACTTAGGCAGATAAACAGAGGAGCAGGAGAAGCAGGAATAGGACTGGGACCTAGGGAATGACAACATTTAGAAGAGGAGACAACAGTAAGGGAGATGGAGAAGAAAAGAACTGAGATGTGTATAAAATGGACTAGAAATGTGTGTGGGCACACATTTATCACAGGCTGAGCGAGGGCCATCTAACCCTGCCATTTCAGGGGGTTAAAAAGTGCTGTTCAGCTCTAGGAAAAGAAGCAGGTCAAATAAAGTTGGTCTGAATCTCTTCCCATCAGAAATATCCAAGGCATTTTACATCTCCAGGATCCTGAGACATAGGTGACTTCAAAAAATAAATCTAAAAAGACTGAATATTTAAATGGAGAAACAAATAAAAATGCAAGAATCCACGATAATATAAAATTAATTTATGAGCATGTGGACACAAACCATTAAATTGAAATTAAATCAGTAATTTATCTAGCTAATCAGAAAACAAATATTTAGTACCAGTACATGGCAGACTTTTTCCTAGGTACTGGGAGGCATATCTGTAGCGTTGAAAGAAACCACGTGTAGCTACATAGTTGCCCCCCAAGAAACTTAACATTCTAGTAATATCTCTATTATCTATCATTTATTACGTACTGCTTTAATTTTTACTTGCAAAATGACTTTACTCTCTTAGAGGTTCGTTCATGTCTTAAACTTCCACATATTTTCCCTCATTGAGATCTTAAAATCCTCATATTTCACACACACATACACACACACACACCCCAAATGTGGTAGAGCAACATATTTCTCTACCACAAGGAGAATCAAGTCAAATTCTTACATTTGGATAAGAATACTGTATTACTTTGTATCTCTGTCGTTATTCATTTTATCTATGTTTGACATATTGATTAGCTTCTGTGCTTTGGCAATTGGTCTCTGATATTCAGATTAAAGAAATGAGTGACATTGGAGAATGAAACACTTATAAGGCAGATTGAGAGAGGCACCCCAGGAGGAGATTTAGAAGGGATACTGGGCAGCATGGGGATACTGAGGTAAGGACATGGCGTAACAGATGTCGGAACTCCTTGAGTAGCAGAAGATTGTCCTTGCCACCTTGCCCTTCTCCTTCCCTTTCCTAGTGTTCCCCCTTTATTAGGTGGGAAATAGGCCTTCCCTACCAAAAGAAAGACCCCTTGAGATACAAGAGTCCCTTCCTTTGATGCTCTATCATCCTACTTCAGACTTAGTCTGAGGTGGTGAGTTAAGGAAGAGTGGGTGTGATGGGTGGGGCAAGTCACAAAGCCTGCTTCTTATATTGGGGGGGGGGGTGGTAAATGCTCCTGACAGGAGAGGGATCCAGTTCCTTTGTCCATTTTCTGGACTTAGCATCATATGCCTTGTTCTTTCTGTCAGTGATCACGGGACATGGACAAATTGGGCTGTGTGCAAAGGTTATGGAAACCATCCTAGTTTGTCAATGTCCCTCTGGAGACCCAGCAGCTAAGAGTATAATTCTTCAGAGATATAATAGAATTATGTCCTTATGAATTACTAAAAATTATTTGTATAAAATTACAAATTCTAAAATAATTTTATATATCAAATTATCTATCTATCATCTATCTATCTATCTATCTATCTATCTATCTATCTATCTATCTATCATCTATCTAGGGGGTTGGCCTTTAAAAGCTTAAAAAGGTGCACTAAGACATTCTATGACCCTATTCCCACATGGGGGGCCTACCAACATGGGTTATATGCCACAGAATTAGGCTAAGGTCTTAACCATCTGTATCTTATTTGAGGGGTTTAATTTCCCTGTGATGTGCTTTAAGGGATACTGATCAAAACAAATTTCACTCATCTTGGTACTGCTACTTTTTACTGCTGACGTTCCTATACAGTCTTCACGATGCGCATTTGGGATTTTGAATCCAGCAGCCTGTGGAAGGTTAGTTCCTAATGCTCCTGGGATTGTGGCCCTGTGACACCGTGGGACTTCTACCACCGGACAATTTCCGGGGGCAATTTTATCATATAAAAACGATGAAGAGAGGGCGCCTGGGTGGCTCAGTCGTTAAGCGTCTGCCTTCGGCTCAGGTCATGATCCCAGGGTCCTGAGATCGAGCCCCGCATCGGGCTCCCTGCTCAGCGGGAAGCCTGCTTCTCCCTCTCCCACTCCCCCTGCTTGTGTTCCTGCTCTCACTATCTCTCTCTCTCTGTCAAATACATAAATAAAATCTTAAAAAAAAAAAAATGAAGAGAGACATAAAAAGTGGGCTTTTTTTCTGTCTACTTTTTTGGTTGATGATGAAAAAAGCAAGGCATTATCCTATGGGTGCCAGAAAGGAGATCTAACATTTCCAAGAAATCTGGCCACGAACAGGAGGAAAGAGCGAGTGGCAGGAAGGTGGGGTTTATGTTTGCCTGAACACAGATGGCAGAGTTTGGGCAGCTCACTGGACCCAGAAGAAGCAGCCTGAGCTAAAGGAGAGGGTAGGATGAGGAATTACAATGAATGCCTTTTCAAAGAACATCCAGCCCTGAAGTCAAACACTTTGCACTTCACTTTCTTGGTGAAATTTAGCATTTCCATCCATTTTGCTCATGGCCTTGCCTCACAGCGGCCCTTCCTTCACATTCTTTCTCCCCAAAAGGGCCACGGAGTCGTCTCAGCCTTTTGCAGACATCACAGAAACCACTTGCAACTGGTACCGCAGGCCCTTTGGCTCATGCCTCCCTCTGTCTTGCTGCTTTGCTAGAAGACCAGCAGTGTTCCTTTTGGTGCAATGCTGATTCCATAGCAAGGTAAGAAAGTAAAACTGCTCATGGGAGATGCAATCGCAAGCAAGGGGCTTCACGTGAACACCCTGAGACCCACACAGAGGACACAGAGGGCAGGAGCCTCCGCAGGCTCGGCCAGGCCACAATGGCTGCATTGTCTGTCACTCGTGGTGACTCACAAGAAGCCACGCTGTAACTGGCTCGCACATGAGACACTCAGTTTTCCATAATATTTGAGTTTCTGCCAGCTCTCTGCTTTCCTTTCTTCCCCATATGCCTACTACAGCCTATGTACCTAATGGACACACAGTGAGCACTTGCCCGCTCACTAAATCCTACAACACACAGCGGAACGTGCGCACGCAGGTCCTTCTGGCTGGCAGCCAGGGGGCTAGACAGCTTGGCCCGTGCGAATGCCTCAGGAATTGAGAAGCCCCCCTACTTCATGTTTTGCTCAAGAAAAACTTGCAGTGGCCCCCAAATGGCCTTGCAGGTGTGGCTTCCCCCTTTCTCCACTCCT